TAAGCAGCCACAAAAGCACAGGTGACTTTTTTCATGCCTATTTACCTCAGCCCTACCATTTTCTTTTGCTTTTCCCTTAATTCTTTGCCTACTACATCCACTGACCATTTTTTCCCTGGTATCTTGTTTCTGGTCCTCTCTTCTCTAAATCCTGTCACTGCAACCTCCCCAAGTTACATTAATCTCTCCCTTTGAAAGCTGTCCTGCTTTTTTCTTCCCTGCAGGGTAACTGCTCCCTTGCATACTTTCTTCGTGACTTCTGCCTCGCTTCCTATTTCTTCACCTCTCTGCTGATTGCTGGACCTCTCTGCCTATTTTCTGCTGCTGTGTGGGTGCATCTCAAAGCACTGTCTATCATATTTTCCTTGGGCTGTTTGGGGTTTCCTTATTCCCTGTCCTCTTTTCTAACTTGCACTTTTTGAGATATAATTAGCTGTGATATGAAGAAAATAGAAATTTAGGCTGGAAAAATCAAGAGAAATCTCCTAACAGCAGAATCGAAGGTGTACAGACCAAAATTTGCAAGTATCCCAACAGCAGTTGTTGAATCCTCCAAGACTGGGGAGATTTAAAAGTAAACCATGGCAGTACTGAAAAGTATATTGCATAGAGAAATACAGTGGCAACCTTGGGGAATGAATAGCAGCTATTTTCTGTCTCTAGCTTATAATATCAAATGATAGTAAGTAATGCTTCAGCTGGATATTGCTGCCTGCCTTTAGCTGCTACTGCCTCTGCTGATGCTTCAGCAGTCCTTTGAATGACTGAACATGAAGAAGTCACTGTTAGTGTAAGCATATATTTTGTCTGTGAGATATTTCAGAATGAGGTCTCCCTAGCAAACAGGACACAGGGAAACACACAGCTGGCTTACTACTTGCCTTCAGGAGAGAAAATAATCACATTTAAACTAACTAGGTGTGAGAGGCTGGGTGGCCAGTAAGAATGAAACATGTCATGTTCAGTACCAAATCACATTAAACACTAACTTCTTTTTTGCACACCTGTGATTTTTGCATTACCTGGCAACAAAAGCTTCTGGGCAACGATGTAGAGTTTTAAAAGAAGTGAAAGTATTGCAGTGGGTGGTTTTGCTTGCTGGTGCTGTTTTCCCCACTTTGTCTCCAGGCAGGCACACTTGCACATGGGCTATACAACCTGTTTTTGAGGGTGTACAGTAGTGATCACAGAACTGTTTGAGAATGTAAATGTCAAACATCTGCTTGCTAAGTTTTTTCACCCTATGTTTTTAAGCAGGCTGAGGAATAAGTAAGCTGTCCTGTTCCAAAATCTGCTAAGTATGCAGGGGAAATCTTAGTTTTATGCATGTAAAAAAAAATCTCCTGTATTAGGAATTTTGGTAATAATGTTCCTTTGTACCCATTTTCTGTTTTGTTAGAAGGCTGAAAGACACGTCAGCTGCTTACGTATCACTTTAGCCGTTCTCTACAGTTACCATCATATAGCAACTTGAAAGAGTAGGTTTCAGTTGCAGATCTTCCCCAGAAAGGATTTAGAAACCTTGGTAATTGCTAAAATAGTTTAGGGGAACAGTTCATGCTACTTTTTACACCCCAAAAATTAGGGCTGTGGAAGTGACTAGGTCATCAAGCTGGCCCAGACCCAGCAGCAGGGCTGCTCTGCATTGCATCTCTCTGCTAGAGACTTCCACAGTGAAAAGAGAGAAGGAGACGGGGCCAGCAGGTACTGCAGGTAGAGACTTCAGGCAGTCCTGCAATATGCCCTAAAGGCTGTGATCTACGGGGGGGAGGGGGGAGGAAGTGATGTGGGTTTCCAAAATACTGTCTTCACATTGCCAGAAAAGTCCTTAGACAACAGGTAGTCTTACCTGGCTAGGTGGGTCAGCTCAAGGTCTGGTTTGCACTGTTGAAACAAGCTCAGAGCAAACAGGGAGCAAATACTTAGTACCTGATCTTTTGTTTTTGCTGTGTGTTACCAATACAATACCGTCTGGTTAGAACAGGTCACAAAGCAGAGTGGATGGCTTGGTACCTGAAGAACTACACCAGGACGCGGGGAGAAAGAGGTTTTATTTCCAGCTTAGCCATTGCTAGCCTGTTGGGATGCGAGGGAAACTGCTTAAACACACTGTGCTACCTCAGCTTTTCTTTCACTCACTGAAAGCTGCTGCTAGGGAAGTTTGGACTGAAGCTTCGGCCTTGACTTTCTGACCATCCAACGCTGCCCTTGGAGATAACGGGTGGGATTGCTGAAGGAGCAAGTTCCACCACTGTGCTCATTTGCTCCCCAGCTGCCTGATTTCCAGAGGCCGAGGTGGCTGAGCACGGTGGTGCATCACATTCACCCACATGCAGAGAACGGGAATGCTGTATGATGCTGTGTCATCCAACAAATGCTCTGAGAGAGTCTGCGTTTGGTCTTATGTGATGTGCTTTTCTGTGTGGCTTTCCACTGCACAAATTCATCAAGTTTAGTTTTCCAAGCATGTTTTAGGAAAAATATTTAATTGAATCTCCTCCCTTTTATTCTGTATAATTACCCTGCCTGTACGGTGGTCACCCTTGTCAGTTCTGCATTTGTTCTTGAGGAGTTTTTGATTCAAGAAACTTGTATCGCAGATGAAGGGAAAAAAAAAAGCCCTCAAAAGCAAAACAAAACCCCAACCCATGAGAAGACCCAGCAGTGGCATGTTTGTTCATTTAAAGAAGTACCCGGTTGAAATGTAAAGGAACTTTGAGCATTTCTCTTGGTCTTAGGTTTTATAAAGACTTACTTTTCAAAGCCCTGAGGCTTTTTTTTGTGTGTTCTCTGATCCTCTGAGCAGGCTTTTCCCTGTCTTTGTATGTCAGCTGAGTTCTGCCTCTTGGCACAAGTGAGGACACCAGGAAAAGGATGGCGGTGAGAGGACTCCGGACGCTGTGCAGGCATAAGCTCCTGCAGCAGACGGGGCCTCCGATGCCTGACATCCTCTGTGGCTGCACAGCCACGTGTCAGGATGAGGGAGCTGGCTCTTGGCAGCTTCCCTCACCCAGCAGTTGTGAGGTGTTAGAACATCAGGGCCCAATGCTGCCTCTTATTGCATGATAAATACTTCTGATTAGTAAGAGAACTGACTTTAACTCCAAACTGCTTTGGCTGAAAGGGAGGTGTAAGCACTGCAAGAAATCAAAGTAACTTCTAAGTACCATGATCTAAAGCAGAGGACATCAATAATGTCTAATAAGACAGAGGGGATATAGATTTTCTAGCTAACCTTCACCCCCTCTTTTAATGGCAATATTAGCTTTATTCTCTGCATTTTAAGACATCAGTGTATCCTCACCTTGTGGCCTTCGTAAAAGATACACATCCTGTTTTTCTTCTCTCCTTGAATAAGGTATTCAATCAGCATCTCTGATATTTGAATTACGGGTAGGGGCAGAGTTTTCCTTTTCTTGGGACTGCAGCAGATGGCTTTTATGTCACCAAGACAACTATGTCACCCAGTGGTTTTAATGGAATTGGTAATGCACAAAATACCTCCACAAAACTATTGGGTTTATTTCTACTATTGTTCATTGCAGTTAACATCACTATGTAGGACCAGAGAGGTCTGTGAGGGTTGCATAGAAGCTGGAAGTTATACAGAAGTTAGAGATAAGCTTTCTTGCCCCTTATCACATCTGTTACATATACATATAATTATGTTATATATACATATATATACACATATATATGTATATCCCATCACTGTTCTGATGTCACAATACCCAGAAAGTATACAAACCATGTGCAGTCTTCAGAAAAAAAAGATTTAAACTGTCATAAATCGAGTGATCAGAGGAGATGGGATATAACAGAGCAATGCAGATGGTAGAAAATACAGAGTGAAAAGGATAGTAGTTCTATCGTGTAAGCATTGCAGCAATTTTGGGGAGTGATTTTATTCAAAAAGTGGTTTTTATTAGTCAAAAAACTATCTCCACTTTTACTGGAATAAAAAAAATAAAACCATTTACTCAGAAATTCACATTAAGCCTTAGACCACAGTTTTGACGTCCCTGGAGTATTATAAAAGTTGGGATGATGGAAAGTTTAGAAACCAAGTTATTTTAATTTCTCTTGCCCTGTGATAGCCCAGAATTAGAATTCATTCCTAAACTGTTAGATACATCGTTTTTTCTATTTCATGAACCCTTTTTTTAGTTATTACATAAGGGGCTTTTGTTTTGTTTTGGGGTTTTTTGTTCATTTACAGCATTAACATAGCTTGTGCTGGCTCACCCTTCATTACATCTTACTAAAAGAATAGGGATGTTTAAAACAAAAACATAAATGCGATTAAAGAATACCTACATATTTTCTCCAATCACTGAAATCCTGATTTAGTTCTTGAATGTAAGCTTTACAATACCTATATTATTTGCATTTTTATGCTTCTGGAGCAGATTTCAGATGCTGAATTGAATAACGCTGTTTTCCTGTTCTGTCCACCCGCTTGCTAAACTTCCCATGTGGAAGGCTGCTTACACACCTCTGAAGTTAGAAAATACAGCAAGGGAGATCTTCATACAAAGGTGCCCCATGATGCCTCCAAGACTACTTCAGAGCTACCAAGCACAGACCTGTGAGACATGGGTCCCCAGCCTCCAAAGATGTTTATCCATACAGGAATTTGCACCAGTTTCAATTACAGCAATTCATGCAAATGTCTGTGCAAACAAGGCCTGAGGTTGTGAACTCGTAGGCCTAATCTCCACCAGTTTATATGGATGTGCCACACAGGCTTAAATCCCTGCAGCCTGCCAATGGGAATAACATGTTTTAAGGGCTGAGCTTGTGATGGGAAACTGCTCAGGTTATTGTTTAATCTGATGCATGACCACCAGAGATACTGAAGTGAGGATGTAAGCTGGCTATAGAGCTGCTGGATTCACCAGCAGTTCTGCCTCTGTGGGTTGGCCAGGTGTAATGGGGAGAGATGAAAAGGTTAAAGATACCTTGCAATGAATTAATTGTTAATGATTTCTCTTGATTGCTTGTTTTGTAAAATAAGAACATTGTAACATAACAATCAAAATGCACTTTCTAATGTTTGCCCCTAATATTGCAGGCAATATTAGCAGCAAACTTGGCTATTATGTAGCTGTTCTGTCAGTCAGCAACGCTGCTTTAACAATGCTGAGTAGTGTTGAAATTTATACACAAAGCTCAGGTATAATACCACACAAAATCCATCTGACAGAAAATTCAGCCTGCAGAAACAACCACGACAACAAGCACAAGTAAGTTAAAGCTGCAGGTTCGTGTCCTGAATACACGTGTGCACCTCCTGGGCTTGCACGTTTGGCACTGCCAGGTTCCGTATCACCAGGCATGCAGGTGTTTCGCGTGGAAGGGAAGAGGGTTATTCCTGACACGAAGCACAGCTCATGTCTTTGAGACAGGTCCTGTGGGTTCCTGACCTTATGCCTTCATCCAGTATTTGAAAAGAATGGTTCAAAGGAAATCAATAATGACACCTTAAAGACAAAAGACTGTGAAAAGAGCTGGTTGAGGGCTTGCTGCCACATACCAGGAAAGCCCTCCTTTCCATGTGAATCCCTTTTCAACCAGGAGATAGGATACCACATCAGCTGGTACCAGCCTTTCACCTACAGGCCAGGACTTGATTTCTTTGAGAAACAGCCTGTGACTTCAGTTTCCATCTCACCAGTAACAGCTTTAAAAAGGTCTGGGTTTTTAACAGCTCTAGAAATCGTGCAAATAACCATTTCCTTCAAGTGTAAACCGGTTCCTCCCATCCCATTATCCCCACTCACCCTTGCTTTGCTTCCCCCCCTCCCCCATCGAGGGATGGAGTATTTCCAGCTACATTATTTTCCCGTACTGTTATTATTTGTCACATAACTCCAAACCGGCATGGGCTTTAAAGTGCAATCCCCGAGACTCTGTACAGCTCTCCATCACTTGTTGAGCCTTCTGCATCTTTGAGCTTCCCCTCCAGTGACGGCGCCGGGAAGGACCATACGTGCAGTGCCACACACCGCGCCTGTGCAGCTTCTTAACTACCTCTGGTTGCAAACGTCCCAGTCTCGCCTTTGATTAGCCACGGGGATATCTGGACCTCCGGTTCCTCTGCTGATGTGCCGGGTCTCTTTGGATTTCACATCCTTCAGGTTCCGGCAGCCGGGTGGATGAGTGACCCCCGCAGGGACCCGAAACGAGCAAGGACGAAAGTTTCCTAAGGAAACAAACCAACCTACCAACCAACCAACGCAAGAAGCCGAGTTCTGCGCACGGAGCGGCGGGCTCCTGCCTGCGGCCGCTGTACCTGGTGAGGCGCCGGGCTGGCAGGAGGAGGAGGATGATGCACAGACATTTCCACGGCCAGCGGAGAGCCTCGATGAGTTCCTAAAGCCGGCACCCGGCTGCGCGGCCGCTCCGGATGCGCTCCAGCGCCGAGCGCACGCCGGCTGCCGGGGGACACGCACGCTCGGGAGGGAGCACAGCGGAGAGCCCCACGGGAGACAGGGACAGAGCGGTGGGCGGGCGGGGGAGCCCCGCGGAGCGGCGCGGAGGGGGGGTGTCACGGAGCGCCGCGTGGCACCTGGCCGCCCCCCCGCCGGCCTGGGGCATCCCTGCGCTGCGCTGCCGGGGGGCGGGCGGAGGCGAGGCCGGGCCGGGCCGGTGCGGGGAGGGGGGGACCGGGGCTGTGCTCGCTGCTGTCTGTCCGGAGGGGCGCCCCTCCCCGCGGCGAGGGCGAGCGAGAGATGCTGCGTGCAACAGGCGGTCCCCGGGAGAGGAGCCGGGGCGACACGTGATGTGTCTCCTTATCAGGGTGCGCGGGGCAGCGCGGGGGGCGGGCAGGGGGCGGGCGCGGCGCGGCGGGGTCCCTAACCGTGCCCATCTCTCCCCTCCAGGGAGGCGCGGAGGACGGGAAGTTCGCGCGGAGTTGATGAACTTTGCACACATCCACAGAAACGCCATTTTGATTCCTTTTTCCGGAACAACTTTGCGGCTCCCTCCCGTGCGCGCTCCACACACACCCCACACACCACCCCCCTCCCTCTCCTTTCCTCACCGGCGCGTCCCCGCGCCCCCCCCCGGCGGCCCATCCTCCCGGCATGTCGCGGCGCAAGCAGCCCAGCCCCAGCAAAGTCCGGCGTAAGTACCGCGGGGGGACCGCCGCCGCGCTCCTTCTCTCTTTCCCTCTCTTCCTCCCTCACAAAGAGCAGGAGCTGACCGAGCTCCAGAGGGGTCTCTCTCTTTCCTTCTTTTTCTTGGGGAGGGTTGGTGGTGGGAGGGGGGAGAGGGAAGAATGCTCTCCTGGGCCGGGGCGCGCTCGGGGTCGCAGCGTGTCGGCCGGTCGTGAGAGTTCTTTAAACAACTGAAACGGTTTTTAGAGGAGGAAAAGTTTCCTTAAAAAAAAAAAAAAAAAGAAAAAGGAAAGAGGAGGAAAAAAGTTTGGCTGGCAGCGGTGGAGATGATGATGAGTTCGTGCAGCCTCCCTCTTCCCTTCCCTTCCCTTCCCCCGCTCCTCCCTCTCCTCTCCTCCCTCCGCGGCTCCTGGGGTTTTTTTTTTCCTCTTTTTTTTTTTTTTTCCTCTCTCCCCCTTCCCTGTTGCAGACTTTCTACCAACCAGCGGCACCAGCCGCGGCGTTTTGCCTTCAGGACCTGATGCTCATCCATATTAAACCGTCTGAGCTCAGGAATCCGGCCAGATCATCCCCCCCTCCTCCTGCTGCAAAGTTTATTTTTAACCAGCCACCGCCACAATTTGGATGGGGCTGCGAGGAAGCAACATCTTCTAGCCCGGATCGCTCCAGAGCCCGCAGCCGCTTTGCCTTTTAAACTTTTCCTTCGGGCTGCTTTTCCTGCCGCCGGCAGCGGCGGCGGGTCCCGCGGCGGCCCCTGCCCGCTTTTCCCGGACGGGAGGGCCATTCCGGCGCTGGGAAGTTGGGATGAAGGCGACCCTTCGTCGCAGGTAGAGCCGCCTTGCGCCGCGCATCTCTCCTCTGACTTTACGCCGCGGGGCCGGCCGGCCGTGCCTGCCCTTCCCCGGTACCTCTGCCGGCGCCTCTCCCCCCTTCTTCTTTATTTTAGTCTATTTTATCCACTTTTCTCCGCTTTTCCTCCAACTCCAAACTTATCCCCCCCCTCCCTCCCCCCCGGTAGCGACGTGCATGTCCTTTCCCCTCCCGGCCTGCTAGGAGGCAGAGGGAGCCAGGCCCTGGGGGGAGTAGATGGGGTGGGGGATCGCTGCCCCCAGCGGGTCCCCCCCGTCCCGCTGCCTTTTATGCGGTGCCAGCAGCACATCCCAACGCGGCGAGGCCAGCGGCGGGCAGGGACGCCTGGGCGGCGTCACCACTACAGGAAGAAGCTGGGCAGCATCCGAGGCGGATGGACAGCGGGGGGGGTTGGGGGGGGGGGGTGTCCGTCCCGGGGTCGCTCTTGCCCCCTTCTTGCCGGGGGACAGTGGAGTTGCCCCCCCGCAGCGCCGGAGTTTCGGGTGAAAACAAAGTTTCGCCGCCCCCCTGCTCCCCTCCCGGCCTGTACCGCGGTGCCCGGTGCGGACTGGCTGCAGCCGCGACCCGTCTCTCAGGCGACCCATCGCCGTTGCTACGGGCCCGGGGACACCCCCTCCTCCTTCCCCTCGTTGGCTCGGCGGTGAGGATGTGAGGGAGAGCCTCCCGCCCAGTTAATCGTACACGGGGCTGGGATGTTTCCCCCATCGCCCTGGTGCTGTGCGGGGCTCTGAGGTACCGGAATGGGCCAGGCGCGGGGGCTGTGGGACAGAGGCGGGCCGGGCCCCGGAGCGGCGAGATGCTGCAACTTTTCTTTCAGCAGAGGAGGGAGGGCGGTGGATTGAACTTTGTCATGTCGCAGATAAGTTTCCTCTGGCTTCTTCTCCCTGCAGTTCTCCCCGCCTCTCCCCTCCGCACGTACGCTTGAGTTTTTTCATTTTTTCCTCATTTCCCTGCTTTTTCCCCCTCTCTTCCTTAATGTTCCCAGTTTCACCTCTCCGTATCTTCGCCGGCTTGGCATCCTGGCCTCGTTACGCAGCAGCAGGAGGAGGAGAGCGCTTCTCCTGGCTCAGCACTTTTCCCTGCCTGCCCCGCTGCGCTGCGCACCCCACGGAGGCCCCCACTGGTCTCCTCCGTGCCCGCTGCCCTCCCACGGCCATCCCGGGGTGTCCGGCCCGGAGGTGATGCTCTGGTCCTGGCCGCCGAGGAGCCAGCATCCTGCTCTGGAATCACCGGTTTTTGGTGGGAAGGGGGAGGCATACCAACCATCCAGTTTGGATTCCCGACTCCCTCTTTCCCCTGTCTGCTGTTGCAGATAAGATCTGGTGTAGTTACCCGTTTGAGACGGTAGTTAAAACTCCTAGTTCAGTGTGATTTGGGGGCAGTGGAGAGAAGGCAGATGCAGCTGATGTTTCTTACCATTCCAACATCCAACCCTGTGCCTTGGGAGAAACAAAAATGCTTATTAACGACACGAGCAGTTGCTAAATAACACTGCCTTGTCACCCCTGCAGTGCACAGTAGACAGCTGTAAATGATGGCTGAAGTTTTTCGTTGAGGTCTGTCGTTTTGACATGAGCGCTGAGTTTTGTTACTGCAGTTCCTGTTTTCCACAGGGTCAGCGTGCGTGAAAGGGATGCAGTGACTCAGGGTCATGCCAGCCATATTTGTTTTAGGTTTTAATTTTCTCTTTGAAGACTTAAGGGTATATAGTCTTTTCTTGGTGTGCCTGCATAATGCCGATTAGCCTTAACGGGAGCTGGGTACATCCAGGGAAGAATAGGCCCTTTTGTTTGTTAGAAACCCAGGAACAGCATGAATCCATCATCCAATCAATCAGAGTACCAGGGCTCTCCCTCACCTGCTGCAGAGGGACACATCCAGCCTCCTCTCTTGCTGCGGGGCAGCTGTGCTTGGCGTGATGTGGCCTCTTGTTACTCCCTCACCTTCCTCCTCCTCTCAGTCATATTTGGAACTCAGTTCATGTAATACAGTTAAAAATACCATCCTTCAAGTATGATCAATTAAACTTTTGTTTTGCTCTAATTTTGCAGCTTCTAGTTGTTAAGCTGTTGTTTGTCCATCGGGAGTGACTGTTCATGTAGCCACTCTTACATATGTCTTTTAATAATGATAAATACATGCATTTTTGGCTTGCTGTTAAGACAGAATATAACAGGGTGTTTGCTGACTGGTCTTAGCAATTGTTGATTTTTTTTGTTTGTTTGCACCCAGACCTGGGTGTTTGAAGCTTTATTTGCTTGCAGGCTTGAGTGTAGTGAAACATCTTATTCTGCCTCAGCTCACCCAGGTTGTGTGCCCATTCTTCACTCTTCATAGTGTTTAGTGTCCCTCTGACCAAATGGCTTTTTGTTCTGATTTCGAGGGTCAGGAGATTCTTGAAGTTTCCAAACTGGGGAAACTGAGTGTTTTCATTATCTATTGGTAATATCTATAATCTCCTTTGGTACCAAAGGCACGTGTAGTGTTCCCCAGGGCATACAAACGCTGGCTTCTGTAGTGCTTTTCCCAATCCTTAAGGATTTTATCACTTTGCCTATGTCAGAGTTACACTGCCGTCGTAACAGTCGCTTGACTTTAGTCTGTGGAAGTTTATTCTTAAGCAGAAATAGTTTGGGTTGCTCTCTGTTGGATTTCTCATTTAAATAAAAACTGTTCATGTACTTACACTGCATAGATTAAAAACATATAGATAAATCCCTTTGATTATATTCATTATCCCCTGCAAAAGTAGGTGGTGCTTAGAAGGTCATAGGATAAGTGTTGCTAAGCAGCTAAACAGAAGGATGCTAAAATTAACCTCAGCGTTTTTGTAAGGGACTCACTTTTTAAGTTGCAGTAATTTTTTAATTTACTTAAAATACATTTTTTGATACTGAAACGTCTGGGAAAGAAGTACCTAGATGCATGAATAAAACCTTCCAGGGGACCGTGTTGAGTGTTAAAGTTATCGACACACAGGAGTAATTCCACCCTCCCCCAGTACGCCTAAATTTTACCAGCATTGGGCCCTCTATTTGTGCCCTTTGCAAATGTCCTTCCAGAGTTATCTGTTGCTCCAGGAGCATCTGATATATGTTGGATAGCAGCCTGTAGGGACAGTCTTGGGAAAAAAAGAAACTGCAGAGGTTCCCCGGGAACAGGCAGGAAACAAGTAAATCCTGTTAGTCTGAAATCCATGCGTGTGCAGAAAAAGCCCCTTTTAACTTGTTGATGGATGATGCCTAAGTTTGGAAATCTGTGTTTTAGGTGTACACTCTTAAAACATGTGAAATCATGTCTTCTTCTTTCAGTGAAATAAAGGTTGTTCTTAAATGAGTGTATTATTGGACCATGTTACTGGGCCAGTTTGAGAAGGCTGCCTTGATGATGTGGTAGCTTTTTCCTTGGGAGGTAATTGTAGAGGAGGATGGTAGTGCTGCTTTCAGTTCTCCTTAAGGCAGTGAGAATGCCTGTTGCTCTCTGTCTTCTTCTACCTCCT